TGTGAAGTGCATCTGAAATTGACAAGAAATCGTGACCTACCTCCTCACTCATTTAGGTTGTTTTCAGCAGCTTCTTGACTCTCTAAAGTGTTTTAGTTACAGACTGTCATGAGTATTCGTAATTTCGAAAGTCTTGGATCAATGAAAAGTTACTTTCTTTCTAACTTCTGACTTCTTAGAGGTATCAAATCCTAAGATTAGTATGAGATCAAGTTTAGGAAGTTTAGCGTGGTTTATTTTAAGCCAGTGGACATAGTCTCACTTGTCTCAACAGCATTGTAGTGAAATATAGTCGGTCAATGTAACTGCTGAACATCAGTATTCACTTTGGACTCAGTTGTTGGTGTGTGTCATTAACGTTTGGTAGATCTTCGACACATTTTTTTGCAAACCACTCAGTAACAGACAACGTAGGATGAAATATTTTCCTGGTTTTGCCATGTTTTGAGCGATCAACCATTTGATCAGAACAGTTTTTTTCTAAACAATCTTCATAAACTTTCATTGAATCTGTGAAATAGGAGGTGCAGATTTTTAGCTGTGCTGGTGAATATATTGAGTAAATTAACAGCTTTCATTCTTCAAGAGATCACAAGGTGTTTTCGATTTCAGTACATTATATACTTAGAGGTTTAACGGAAAATACAGAGATCTGATAAATCATTTGCGCACTATTTTCCTCCAAACAGAACTTTGGTTGAAAAACTAGGTTTGACAGTGTCACAAATACATTATTGTATGATTTATTTAGAAAGAAGCCCTGCTGTTTCAGAAAAATTCTAATCCAGTATCACACTTTACATTAACTTCCTGGTGTCATTTTTACCGCTGATAATGCCGACTTTATGGACAAGTAAGCAAATCCACAGACATTTATCACGTTATTAGGGAGCGACTCATGTTGACGAATCTCAGGTCATTTTTATCAAGTGTTTTACAATATACATAAAATATTAGCATTTTGAAAGATAGCAGTCAGAGAAAAGCTAGTACTGGATATGACTATCAGTTGAAATAAACAATCTCATTAGAAAATCTAAAGTAAACTGATTCTTCATGTAATGTATCATCCGATTTTAAAAAAGGATTGTCTCAAAGATGAATATTTTATATCAGGCTATTCATTTGACACTGTTTTCTTCTTGGCTATTGCGCATAAGATTGTGGGGATAGTTTCGGTAACTGATTCTTCCTGATAACACTGATTATGTTAAAAAGATAAAAATTATAAACATAAGAAAACGGTAAACCTGACAAACTAATAAATGTTATTCACATGAAGGTGTGTTGGATGTATGCACTTCGCTTATCTTGTGTTCCTTCTCTGCAAATCTGTGTAAATAATTTCTCTCCTTCAATAGAAGTATGGAAAGTAAGATACCAGAAAATGCAATTCTAACAGTAACGATATACACTATCTTTGAGCTTCCAAATTTAGTGCTGATGATCTTGTCCAGAATGATGATGAAAGCTTTACAGTTGAACCATCTAGCCCAGAGAACACAACACTACCAAAAAACCGTTTATATTTACAATAGGTCAGACAAGATGAGAAACCTTGAATTTCTATCTAGAGGTTTGTGGAGGTTTATTATGTGATTTTAGGTTGAAATCCATCATCGAGTGGCATCACTTGGGGGAACATTGGACTCCTGAGAGCACTAGGCAGCTGTTATGTTCTAGCATGGGACTCCTCAGCACACCCATCACCTTTACTAAGATCAAACCTAAGACCTTCATGTTCCGTGCCCACCACGTTACCATGGAGCCACTGGGTCGGGTTCCATTAGTCCATATGTCCTATTTCTGTCGGTTCATGATATAGTGCGGCCCACATTCAATGTCATCACTGAGTAACTGTTCTCATTTTCGACTTGGTTTACTCCACTGGTAATGACTTCTCATTGTAACTTCAGGAATCACCTCTCGACACTGGATATAGGTTGTACTATATCGTGAACCAACAGAAGTAGGGAAAGTGGCCAATGAGTTCCGACCCAGTGGTTCAATGGTAGCGTTCTGCGAACAGAACCTGATGGTCCTCGGTTGAATCCCTGAAAGGCGGAGTCACTGGTGTCCACTGCTGAGGAGTCCTGAAGTAGGAAGAAACGGATGTCCAGCGCCATTAGGTTTCCAATGTTCCTCCAACTGATGTAAGTTTATGATGAATTTTAATGCAAAAGCTTGAATTCGCTTAAAATTTGGCAAACGGAATTCAGGATTGTATAAAACTTGTCGGATTAGAATTGATGAACTTTACGTTATACTGAATGTGATTATTTTATTTCATATTGATAGGTAAGAAACTCGTTTATATCCGAAAAGTTTAATTATCAGCCTCTACTCTGAAATACCACTTGATAACAAACAAAGAACACTATGTTTATTACGATTTGTGGAAGCTCTTCCCTTGAAAAATCTTCAACTTGATCTATGTACTTAGAGGCTACAATCAACCTTTTTTACCTTGATAACCGTATCAAGTCGTTTGCATGTGTATGTATATAGTTCTCATTCTTTTCTCGAGTTCATCATTTTGTCATTAATTGCTTACCGTCTATGAATCATTTAGCCTAATATTTTCTATATAAATACCCAACCGACTAGGTCTTTAACAACCGCTCCCTTTTACATTCCTGCCTATTTGCTGTGACCCCTTATTCTACAGCTCAAAAATGTTTTACCTCATGAGATGTAATTTGCCATTGATTTTGACTGAGGTTTGCAATTAATAATCCTGTATCTCCTTGGCTTATTACCTTACTGTTAGTCCTGGATTTCAAATCTTCATTTGAAATAATGGATATTATTCGTAGCTCAGGTGGATGGTCTTGGTTGTATTGTGTTCTCTGAGCTCAAGATGCACCCTTTCTTTTGGTAAGAATTAATTAGTTGGATATTCCTTCCTCTCAGTGACTGACTTCATCTCTACTGAAATTCAAACCCTGAACTAATCCTTTCTAACACTGAAGAGTTATTCACTAGGCTACTATGTCAGGATGGCTGATTCTTGTTTGATGAGTAAAGTTTGATAGTGCACTTTGCGTCTCCCATCGTTTGTTGAACTAAATTGGTCAGACAGTTATGGCATATGCACTCCTGTACGAATTCCTTGATAATCCTGAAGTTTGAAATGCTGGTCTTCGAGTTCTGTTTTCACAGAAAACATCAGTAACTGCAAGTTACTGTCAAATACATGGTGAATCTTAACTGCAATGAAAGATATGTGGTGGATCCTCCTGCTAGTCACTAACCGTCGTCAGTATCAAAATTAAATTATCGGTAATACCGATGCATTTGATTTAGAGGGCCCAGCTGCTAAAACTGATCGATCAACTTTAGAAATTTATCTTCCCAGTAAATATGGATTTTATGCTGTGCAATAACTAGTCGACCCCATAATGACAAAGAAATAAAAAGATGTAGCCCTCTAGAAAGTGGAAATTCACTTAAAAACTTATGAAAACTCTCAGTCTTCAGTTAGATGATTAGTTCCCTAGTGACATCTTTGGTATTTCACAGAGCTTAACAGAAGGTCATCACAATTTAAGTTGAGCAGGTTACAACTCATAGCACTGAAAATTCACGCCTATTATAGTACAGTCACTACCAATTGGTAAACGTGAGAAGTTCTACAGGAAGGAATGGAATTAACTGCACACCAGATGAATCGCTGAAAAAGACAAAAGTATTTCTTACTTTGAACTCATTAAAAAACTACCCTTCTTTCATAGATAACGTTGGTAAAACTTCATTTGTAAACTTGGAAAGTTTCTCACACAAGTAATAATAAAGAGCAAGCAGTAACGAATAACTTCTCAAAGATCTATAAACTCCCTTGAATTCTGGTTTCTTATTTGTTGGGAAACCCTATCAACAGAATAAATTATTTAACCCGAAAGTATTTTAAACCTGTGTTTTGATATTACTAAGATCCACTGAAGTATAATTCAATAAAAAACCAAAATTTTACAGGTTTTATTTCAAATCTACATCCTGATTCCCTCTATGTACTACGGATAAATATTTTCTCCATTACTTTGGAGAAAATGGGATTTATGTATTACCGGATCTTTTATTTCTTAATACAAATGGAACTTAATGAAATACTTCCTTGGCTGAAGAGAAAAGCTCGTTATCATCTGCGTTTGTACATTTCATAAACTATTAAATTAATCATAGTGGAAATAAGCTCGTAAACTATTCTCAATTGTTGAATTCATTTTCCCAAAAGGATGAAAGCTTCGTGTCCTACGAAAATCCGGAACACTTCATTAGGTAATATATCCTCAGTGAATAATTTCAAAGCATTTTCCATTAACCATGAAAAACATACTAGCTATTATTATTTAAAGGCAGTAAAAAGATATAGATTATCGGGGTCCAGGTCAGTATTTGAATAACAAAGTACCCAACACAATACCTGACATCTTTAGACTCAATTTTTTAACAAGTTGTCAGTCATTGTTGATTTGTCCCAGACAAGGATAAAAACAATTGTCCAGTGCCCAAATGTTTCAAAGATTCCCTGACTGATGTCATACAGTAATGAATAACATTTCTAAATACAATCAGTTTATATTGCTGAACCATTTAACTCCTTACTTTATTTCATTTGAAGACCTACAACCCATGTACAAGTTCTCGAAATATCTTGTCTTTGAAGAGTCATGTTGACTAAAATGACTGATCATGAAATATTTCTTTTTTTGTCATAAAACAATCATAACTAACAAAAATTTATACAAATAAACTAATTTTACTAAAGTTTACATTCAAATGATCACTAAATCACGATTATTTAACCGAATGGAATCAAATAAATACTCAGAAGTGAAATACTGAACGAAACGATTGACTATAATTTTACAGTTATTTTGCATAGAGTGACCACTGGAATACAAGAGAGTGTTCTTCATCAGGATGGATGTTGATTTCTTCAAGTTCACAAAGTTAAAACAACGTAGTAATCAATGAATAGAATATATCAGTCTGTCATTTCATTGGAACAAGTGGTATCTGTAAATACTACCGTAGCCTCGACGATACATTTTCTTTTGTTTTCGCATCAGACGTCTTTGTTCACGAAGCATACGTCTCATAGCTCGTTCATGACGACGACGATGACCGCCATATCGTACAGGTGTTATTACTAGTGTTTTAGGTTCACTTTTTTTAACATTATTCAATAGGTTGTATTTTTCAGCTTTTTCTACTCTTGAAAATATGCGATCAATCATTGGGTTGTCTACAGTAGATGTTACAGGCAGAGATACAGCAACGTAACAATGTTGGAACATGTTTAAAAGATATATAACAAAAGTATACAATAATAGTTGCCTTGATGAAATTATCATGGATATAAGATTGGTCATAACTTATTCGAAATAAAGTGAAATTAGATTTGGTTGATTTCTATATGTCCACTCTTTATATTAAAATGTATGAGGGATAAAAGTTTGTCAGCACCGATTTCCAGATGCCTATTTATATTGTTCTGATTTTCTCCATTATTTATTCCTTAGTTTTTTTCTTCGTTGAATATTCATTGTACATTGAATGAATATAAATGTATTCACTGTAAACTTGTCAAACTGAATCATTTCATCAACAATATAAACTTCATAATCACATGCTGATCATAAAAAGATGTTCATTATTTTCAACTGTTTTTGCAATTTTATAGGATCTAAATCTTAATAAATTTCAAACTTTTAGATGTTTGACTGACTGGTGAACCTAACACTTTGTTTAAAACATATGCGATTAGAATACGGCTAAAAATTTAATAATCACATCTTAAACGATAATTATATTTTCTAAAAGTAAAGAGTATGAAGGCTGTAGATCGTTTACACAATTTTTATATTTTTTGTAATCTGTTAACAGGTGAATATCATTTAGTAGTTTATCCTGAAACCAAAATGAAAACTAGATGAGAAAAAAATTGTTTTAAATGATAGTTACTTTAAGATTGGCATGAAAAATCTGATTGAAACTATTTTGTTTGGAAACATATTAAGTAAAATGGACATAAAAAGGGGAAACGTTGGTGTAATGTAGGGGTATAATGCATTCATATACTTTTTAAAGTAATAATACAAGATAAGTAGATCGTTCTTTTGAGTGTAAATTCTTATGCAACATTTATACTAGATTTAAAAAAAAGTAAAAATCGTGTACAAAGTGTTAAATATTTCTCTCACGTGTATGGTAATCTTAAGGAGAGAAGGATTGTTGAAACATTTCAGAGTAGATTGAATGCTGTTGTACTCAACAAAATGACAAGCCTAGAAATCCATTCAACTTGGATGGTATATCCGTAATAACATGTGCACAGTAGCCATAACTAAAATAAGCACAAACAAATTAAGTTGATTCATCATTAGTAATACTTTTCTTACACTTATCGATATATCCTTATGTATTCACATCTTCACCGTGAATACAACGAATACTAATCGATGATGATAATATTTTAGTTAAATTTCACGCTCAGTTGTTTATTTTATACAGCGCATTAATTAATTATTATTAGTCCATTAATCCATTTGGCTCCACGACAGCCAACAAGCTCTCATCTCCTCCTCGCACAACCTCCTCCATATCACCCTCGCCAATGACGCCCAACTCGTCACTTCCCATCTGCGTTCCACTCGAGTACATGGCCTGGCCTGATGCGTGATGTCCCCAGTCGACCCTCTCAGTGTATGCCTATCTCAATCCATCTCCACTTCCTTCTACATATCTGTTGAGTGATAGGTTCTTGCCTCGTTGGTTCGTTGCCAGTCAGCCAGAATTCCATTCCTTGTTGCTTATTCTTATTATTCTGGCCATCTGATCTTCAGTGTCAGTAACGAGCCAGTGTAGGCGGCAGTTATTGATGAATGTCTGTAGTTTGTTGGAAATGCCTTTCGTAACGCGCCAAGTGTCTGAGGCATACAGAAGCACTGACGTGACTGGTGTTGGAAATCCGGATTTTGTTCACGCTTTATGCTGAGTGAAGAAGATCTCCAATATGGTTTCAGGCTAATGAATGCCTGTCTTGCTGTGTTTCCGATCCCGACTTTGATGTCCTCGTTATTGCCGCCTGTAGTTGAAAAAGTGCTGCCCAGATACGTGAAGGAGGCTACTTCCCTTAAGTTTCTCCCATTGATTGTTATCTAGTAAATATTAATGTATCATTATGTTGTGTCAAACAAACAATCTACTATGGAACATTGCTGTGCCATAGTTATCAAGTTTTCCTCTAATATAGATATTTAAGTGAATCTACAGACCACATTAACAACTGCCAATATATCCAGTCGGGTCTTGAAACAACTAGTCCCCTATATAAATTTTGACAAAACAATAAGAAAATGTATTTCGCCTGAAAGGTGAGTTGCGTTCGCGCAGTACATTTTGAATAGCCTGGTGAAGCACTTTTCATGCATATGTGTGTGAAAATAACAAGTGATAAATGGGTTTAGTAAATAATTGGCATACTAAAGCTTAGAGTTGTCACTTTAGAGGCGAAGAGAAAGATAGTAAACTAATCAATTTGCTTTAAAGCTGATCTAGTAAGGGAGGTCTAAAGTAGCTACAAATTGTCTTTTAAATGCCCAATAGAGGTCTAATCTTTCTTATTGTTGAAAGTCCAACAAACCTGCCTATTTGAAGCCAACAGGTTTTATAAATCATTCTGGAAGATGCATAAAAGTGACCTATATAAATGACCTATTTCAGTGAAATATCAAGGCATTTTAAAAATCAGAGATCTGTTGCTTGGATAGATCGGATCATACGAGTTGATTTGTTGTAGTGGAATGTGATCCGTTGCCTTTACATACGTAGATCGACGTGTCCTCCCTATTCACATATAACTACACGTATATGCAAACTGATAAATGATACTAGACATGACCCTGTTGTACAAATGCTGCAAGGGTTTACAGAAGTACATAGGTTTTATCTTCTCCTTGACATTGACCTTTTGCTATAGTGTGTGTTGCCTGGATGTCTGCCTTAAGTCTTCATTTGGTTATCAGACTCGTGCATGGTAGCGTGATGTAAACATTTTTCTTTAGGAGTGACTGAACACTGAAACTGCTATGTTCAGCATTTGTATAAACATGATTAAATTTCAGGGGATATTTTTCTTTTAATAATACTTTGGTGAGTTTTTGCCTTTACTCTCCCTAAGTTTCACTTGTGCACATTCTTTGGTTCTGGTTGAACAGATGCTTGGTCATTAAGTGGTTATGCTAACGTGGACAGAAGGTATGGTACTTAAGTTACTGCCTTACATATCTACTTTTTCTATGAACGAATCGTTCTATTGATCCATACTGCCAGTGAATTGTGAAGATATCTAAGAATTGCAGACATTCATCTTTTTCGTTCTGATGTGTTAAGGATGTACCATTGAGCATTAGATGTTAGAATGAGAATGGAAATGATATCTTCCGACTTATCGCATTTAATTATAATATATTCCACATATCATTTGAGGAAAGGAACCTATGAAATAGAATTTTCAATCAGACTGTCCACTTTACATATAGATCTGCTAGGAGTATATATAAAGGACTTTTTATGGGCACACCATCGCTTCAGGTGAAAATTTTTACCTTCAAATCCAAATCGGTACTACTACTTAAAAGAAGAAGCTCCTTAAGACGAGGAAGTGGAAATGGCAATGAAAAACTATTGCTAGGGATACAACCACAAAGAACGTCAACTGTCTGCTTCAAGGGAATATGGTGTCGACAGAAAACATGTTTCTGTTTTAAAAACCAATATCATGAAGATATTCAATTAGCTCAAAAGTATTCTACGAATTCCCATATTGGGAGAAGAGAAGTTATGAGAACTGTTATTGATTCTCAATTATCAATCATATACTACATGATATTCATAATTTTGTGCAGTTCCAGTGTATTTAAGATACTAGCCAATATACTCAAGAAGCTACATAAATCAATCGATGACAAGAATCAAATAACCTGGTAGTGACACAAAAGAAAAGTTTGCCACAATTCATCTGGATAGAAAAGTGGTAGGTAGAAGACCTAATACTGAATATGAAGGTTCACCACCTGTGCTTCTTCCGTAACAGTTAATGAAAAGACAGTCGAGATAGTCATAGCCATTGGCGAAATAGCGAGGTACTGTTAAAGATAATTGATGGCTTTTTACTGATCTTATAAAGGGCCAAAATAGAATATCTCTTTGAAGCTTCAAATCATGACGAAAAATCAGGTTGTTGGTTTATGAAGATTTCTGAGTATGAAGGTAGCGTTCGCCATTGGCTAGCATCAACGGAAACCTGTTCAAACTGTGAGAGCAATGGAAGCGGATTCATATCAGTATGAAACTGCTCATTAGTTATCACCTATGCCTATGCGGTGAATTGAGAGTAATATAATGAGGTCTGGTCACAAATGAGTAACTATTCAGTCACAGAAATGCCATTAAATGATTATCATTTTCTTATATCGATCAATTCGTGATAAGACAGTTCCACCGGGGAATGTTTCTTCTAACATGCTATTAGTTGTTCCCACAGCTTATGTCTCCTCATTAGAACTTCTGGAAATTCCTCTCAAAGCAAGTCGCCGATCAGCACTTGACAGTTTATCAACTGGTGGGTTGTAGAGATTCTAGCTTAAACGCCGAATGCTGATGTGCTAGCGATGAAACCTGAAGATCTTGAGCTTGATCTTTCATAAGGTCATGCGTAAACATCGATGAGAAGTTCCATGATAGGATGAGATATCTACCCACTGATCCAAGATTTTTATAGGTTCTTCATCCAGTGTCGGTTATGACAAATACTAAGTCGCGAATAAACAGGTAGTAGTCAGCTAATATCTACCCACTGATCCAAGATTTTCATAGGTTCTTCATCCAGTGTCGGTTATGACAAATACTAAGTCGCGAATAAACAGGTAGTAGTCAGCTATTTTCGCTGAAGATCAGATGGCCAGAAAGAATAAGCAACAAGGAACTCTGGGAACGAACCAACCAAGAACCTATCACGCAACAAATATGCAGGAAGAAGTGGAGATGGATTGGCCATGCACTGAGAAGGCCGACTGAGGACATCACGCGTCAGGCCCTCGAGTGGAATCCCCATGGGAAGCGACGAGTTGGACGTCCGAGGGTGACATGGAGGAGGTCGTGCGAGCAGGAAATGAGAGGTTGTGGGCTGTCGTGGGACCAGGTTCAAAAGATCTCAGAGAACAGAGGTCATTGGAGGCGTGCTACTGAAGCCCTATGTTCCACTAGGAACCCAAGGGACTAATAATAATAATAG